AAGTGTAGAGACCGGAAGTTTGTTTTAGATTGTTGAGGGGCCGATTTGAAACATATGAAAGATAATGAATGGACATTATCTTATGAATATATGAGGTCATGGTCCCCAATTTGTTGTGGTTCTTCAAGATTTTCTGCATCCCCCTCAAATGAAATTTTAATTGAAGCGAAGATCACAATTAAGTTGGAAGATCGTGATCTATTCAGGCTAACAATCAATAATCTATGGATTAAGATATGTTTATGCTTCTACTATTTTCATTCTCATTGATTTCAATATGGATGGTATATTTGAGAAAGGATTTGATAATGTTTTGGATCGATAATCCTTTTCTTTTTTCTATCAAGTGGTATCAGAGTCACTCCATTGTTGAATCATTGAGATACTAAGGTTCTAAAATTCTGAATTTTTGGATTATTATATCTTCCCGTTATTTTGTGGAATTAAGAAAATTATTATATGGATTTATGATATTATTAAGGATTTTATTTCAAAAAAAAAAAAAAATCCAATTTTAGAAAGTATGGATCTTAATATAATTAAAGGTTTTCTTCCAAAAAAAAAAAATCGGATTTTTTTTTTTTTGAAATTGAGAATTTTTGCTGAAATTAAAAGATTTAGAGTTAAAAAAAATACAGAGGTGCTGCCGCCGGCCAGCGGCAGCGTGCGCTGCTGGAACAATCGCGCGGCAGTTCCAACATCTCTGCAAGAATAGCAGCGTGCTGTTCCAGCAGACTGTTGGAATAGTACTGTTCCAACAATGTTGTTGCTGTTCGGGGGCGATGCCCTCGGCCAAATTGTGACTTGGCGCACCGGGCGGCGCCGCCCATGGAGGAAGATGAAGGTTTTTCATTTAAGGTTTTCAGTTTCAAGTTTTGGAATTTTTGGAGGCGGGGACATGTGTAAATTGGATGAATTCATGTCATTGGCTGCAATTTAAGGATTAGGGTTAGAATTTAAGTTTTAGCCCCTAAGGTTTTAATTTTACTCAAGTTGAGATTTAAGGTTATGGGTTTTAATAACTCAACCCCTAAAGTTTAAAGTTTTGGTTATTAAGCCCCCTAAAGTTAAGATTCATCCTATTGGGCCTTATAAAGTTTTAGGTTTAATAATTCAGTCCCTAAATACTGAAAATTAATTAATTTTGGGCCATTAAAGTTCTGAATTTTGCAATTAAAGCCCTTAAAGTTTCTGATTTTGCTCTATTTGGCCTCTAAAGTTTTGAATAATTAATTTTTTGGTACTTAAAGTTTGCAATAATTAATTATTGATACCTAAAGTTTTGAATTAATTGTTTTTGACCCATAAAGTTTTGAATTATAAACCCTTAGACCCTTAAAGTTTCAAGTTATATAAAATTAAGTATTCCGTTTTTTAAATTTTGGTATAAAGGACTCATTTGAGAATATAATATTCTTCGAAAGTGAATTGATTGAAGCAATATGTTGTCAAAGCAACCTCTCTTGTGGAAACTAATTAACTTAGAATATTAGAAGGAATTGGTGTGTATGCTTGTTCATGCGGATATTAGCCGGCCCAAAGGAAGGTTAATATTTGGCCGAATTGTATGCACACTTGTGGTGGTAAATGTGTGACAATTANGATAGTTCATGCGGATATTAGCCGGCCCAAAGGAAGGTTAATATTTGGCCGAATTGCATGCACACTTGTGGTGGTAAACGTGTGACAATTATAAGGTTTCCATGTGAATAATAAATCAATCCAAAGATGGATTTATTATTTGACATGAGTTATTGTCAATGTTTGATCACTACACCAAGAGTACCACTTACAATTAATATTATTGTCCAAAGACTTGATATTAATGATGTGCTAGGTATCTTGAGATGAGAATTACCATTATTTGAATTATTTAATTGTTTATACGGATTCCAATGTGAACATGTCAATTGGGAATAAGTTCTCTATTCAGTCAATCCATCCAATTCTGAAATATATGTCAACATCAACTCTATTTCCGTGCTATATGGAACAAACTTCAAGGTTTGAAAAAGAGAGCATATTAATTGTTCTTGGCTGCAAGGATCTAGATCTTGCGCTCCGAATTGAGAAACTCACTCCTTTTACGGAAGAAAGTTCATTTAATGAAAAGATGAACTTTGAGAAGTGGGAACGCTCAAATCTCATGAGTCTAATGATCATAAAGCCTAACATTTCGGAAGCCTTTAGAGGCGCAATATCTAAAGAAGTGACTAGTGCCAAGGATTTCTTTGTCGAAATTGAGAAATGTTTTGCAAAAAACAATAAAGCTGAAACTAGCACGCTTTTGCAAAATTTGATTTCAATAAAGTATAAAGGCAAAGAAATATGATGGAGTACATCATGGAGATGTTTCGCATTATTTCTAAACTTAAGGCACTAAAGTTCAAGCTGTCTGGTGACTTGTTCTTACAGTTGGTATTGATCTCTCTTCTTGCACAATTCGGTTAATTAAAGTCAATTACAACTGTCAAAAGGGGAAAGTGGACTCTTTATGAGTTCATTTCCATATTATGTGCAATAAGAAGAAATGCTAAAGCAAAATAAAACTGGCATTACTCACTTGGCAAGTACTTCTAAGGAAAAT